GCGTATAAACAACAAAATTGCACAGTACATCTACTTGACGTACAATTTATCTTTAATGCTTTAAGGAAATAATCATGAGTAAAATATTATTAATTTATTCAGGATGCAATATGAATTATGCAACATAAAATCTTACAAATCGACACTTACAAAATAGTTACATTGTCATGCAGCACAATACACCACACCACGGCACACGTGCTGCTAAAAGCCGGTAAGCTGGTCTAGTTTGCTGTCTTTCCTAGATGTTTGCTGATCTGCTGTTTTGCCTATCAGCTGCTGATCTGCTGCCCGGCCATGATCTGCTTTATGATGCAAACAAAAGAAGACTGCACAAGCACGTCGCATGCGGCACAACCACAAAAACCCACAACAGACAACAGCGCTTTACAACCAACTAACGAACAAGACGTAACGCCCTGCAAAACTGTACAATGACGTACATAAGGCAACGTCAACAAGGAAATGCACAGAACAGACAAGGGATGCGTTTAACTAGCGCGTGACGCACCGGAGGTACGACAAACCGTGACGTGGAAACGCGGAAAGCTGACGGCGAGATGCCGACGGCGAGGCGGCCGACGGCGAGGCGGCCGACGGCGAGGCGGCTGACGGCGAGGCGGCCGGCAGCGGCCGACGCGAGTCGGCCGACGTAAGTCCTCGCCCAGGCTCGCTCAGACCGGCGGGGGGATCAGGCGGGAGGTGGGCAGGGAAATACACACACAGGCACGTTGTTAACCAGCTAGCAGGGGACGCAACGAGCACAGACTTTGCACAGCAAAACAACATGAGCAGCTGCGCACAAAATGCAGAAACGTACTAATACGCACACGGGCACATCGCGGGCAGTTGGGAATTCTCCATCACAAGTAAAAACAGTAGCACCCTCACACATACACATACGTATACGCGTGCGCGCATGCACACACACATACACCCTCTTACACACACCTACATACACTTACACACGCACACGCGCGCGCGTGAGTACATTCTCGCCCACATTTGAACAGATACATACATACATACAAACATACATACAATTGCGCACAAATACAAGCCACTGAACACCGCAACAATAACCACCGGCCGGCTTTGCAGCTTCTATCTGTGTTTGCTGACCTTATCTTTGCAGTTTGCTGCCTTTGTGCTTTTGCTGTCGCTGTTGCTGTTGCTGCTTGCCGGCACAACAGGAGAAAAACACCGCGCCACGAAACACCCACAGCAAGAAACTTTGCTCCGAACGTATGTACGACAACACTACATCACGAACGGACACAAAGTGGCACCCACGCAGTGAACATACGGGGAAAGACCTTCATGCCGTACTCCCTACACGCCGCACCTTACCAAGGTACAAACAATTTCATACCGAAATCCCCCTCCGTCACCAACTCGTCTATCCATGTGCAACGCGCCTTCACCCATAGAATCCAAGAACGATGGCCGACCTTGATACGACGTGTAACGGCCTCACGACCGGAAATCTAGGCGCGTTCTAACTAACCTACGACATGTACGGACGACCGTGCATCCGGCGTCACTCACCAGCAGCGGAAGACGATGTGAGCTTGACTGCGTTGATTAGAAGCGTTGACAATGGGGGCCCTTGCTTCACGCCGACGCAACATCGCACTGGGGTCTTGGAGAGTTGAAATGTGGTGTACGCAGAGATTCTCGTTGCCAGGTGGAATGCGGTCGATCTTGAAGGTCTTGGGCAACTCCAATGAGCAGTCGTCTCTGTCGCGAGGAAGGTCACGGACATCGGACGAAGTGGTCATGTCTCGCCTAACGACGTGTACTTTCCTGCCAGACCGCCAAGCTTTCAGCCTTCGTAGGCTCCTTACACAGCTAAAGCACAACTGTCGGAATTACGCTCAAACGCCGCATACGCCCATATTCTTGCAGCAGAGCGCTGCACAAACACATGCCCGTCGAAAGCCCGTCGACAAAGCCCCTTATGTTTCAAAGATCCATACACAAGCTCGAGAAGCAAGCATCTCACCTCAAAAAAATGAGTTGCCGCAAGTCGCACCTTGCCCTCACAAATGAGTCAGGCAAGTCGATGTCCGTGAAGCGGCGACGCTGTGCCTGAAGCAACGTCAGCAGGGGTTCAATAAATAAATGCTTGAGATAACCGCGTAATAAATTAGAGCAATGGAACTGAAGTGCGGCGGCTACAGCATGAAGGTTTTGCAACGAACAGTACCTTGCAAACGTTTGCAGGGTCCACAGCAGCTTCTCAGGGCGCCGCGCAGCTGTTCAGGCTTCCTCATTTGCTGGTCATATGTAGGAAGCTTGCAGCTTTTACGGACGCACCAGAGCTGGAACAGGCCGAAAAAAAGGGCTCAAACGTTGGGTGAAAGCCTGTGATCAAATATCGGACGTTGTGCACATTTGCTAATGGAGCTGGAAGTGCTATGGGAGGTGCCTTTTGTCAGAGGCCAGCAAAATTGTACGGCGTCCGGTAAAGCTGCGCAACAGCTGCAAATCCAAGTGTGTTGGAAAGGTGCAGTTCGGCGAACTCACTTTGTCGACAGTTAGCCTATTAAACTTTTATATTATAGCTGTATGTCACTGCATTATCACGTTCACCTCCGTTCCTCTGCACCTGGTTACGTCCTCCCGGAAGCAAGATCCCTAAGTGCAAGCCCTTGCAAACAACAGGTCAAGTCATCATGAAGGCCGTTGCTTCATTTTTGCTTATGTGGCATAGCGGGCGATTGGCGTAATCTGCCCATGGCGGAAGTGCCAAGAGCTATTGATACAGCGTTATGGTGCTTGAAGTTCTTCTTGAGTATCTAAGGTGCTTTAAGTCACGTTTGCTTACAAAAGGAACTGCGGCCCGAACAAGGGCGCCATGGAACTATCATGGGGGGCTTTCCTTTGACAGGGCTAAGCCATCCGTAGCTTCTTCTTTCGAGGTCATCCATCGATGCACCATCATTGTCACCCAGCACTGCTGTGAGCAGCGAGATCGTGCGCCGCCCAGCTCCCTATCACCCTATATCCCTCCCGTTCACCCTCGCCTGTTAGCCCCTTCCCGCCACATTTCCGTTCCCTATCACTTGTTGCCACTAGGGGCACTTTTACCTTGAACCATCGGAAGGATTTTCAACCCTAACAAGTTACAAGTTCCACACTTGCGTGCGGAACCCGCACTTGCGTGCGAGTATTGATGCGGGTACACAAGTGGTGCTCGGTGCCATAACCAT